CCCAGACTGGAGTGCAGTGGTCGCTCCCGGCCACCACAGCCTCGACCTGCTGGGCTTCGGTGATCCTTCTGCCTCAACCTTCCAAGTAGCCAGAATTACAGGCATGCGCTACCACACCTGGCTGATTTTTTGATTTATTGTAGAGATGAGGTCTCGCTGCCCAGGTGGGTCTCGAACCTGCGGGCTCAGGCAATCCACTCACCTCAGCCTCCCAAAGGCACGGGATTACAGGCTGAGCCACCGAGCCCGGCTATGATTTAAATTTCACATTCCATTTGTTCATTGCCGATGTATAGGAAAGCAATTAACTTGTATATTAACTTTGTATCCAGCAGCCTTACTATAATCACTTACCAATTCCGGTCCAGGTTACTTTTACAGGATTAAATGCAGTCCTAGTAGCCCCAGTTTAAGAGGGTCGTAGACAAGACACGTACCCTAGGGCTCTTGGGTTCTGCAGACATGAGGAGGGACACAGCTAGAGAGGACAATGGAGCCTGCTGGACTTCAAAACTCTGCATTTGCCCCGTTGGAAGTCTTTCATGAAGGTAGATACTTACTGTCAGAAATGTTGGAGAGGGAATTTCTGAGTCTGGAGGAAGACTGGACTCGAAATAGCTCCATTCTGTACCTTATACCTTTAGAGTACTTACTTTATAGCTATAACTCCTCAAGGAAAGTATATGAAGCTTACAGATATTTTCTTGTTGTCTCCTATACCATTTGTATTATTCTTCTATGTTATTTTTCTCTGTATTATTCTTCTATGCCTACTTCCCAGCTAATGTAAAATCACTTTGACTTTGAATGGAATACTTATAGTGCTGAACTTTCTTTAGACTCTCCTTAAAGGATAAGTTTCTTTGGCCAAAATAAAGGTGATAAGAGCTTGTCCAGAATTGCAAGTGTACTAAAACTCAAAGCTCCAAAATGAAAAGTATAACTGTGGTCATGGGTTCAAGGCCAGGTTCTGCCACTCAGGGTTTTGCTCTCTGGCAAATCACTTAGCAGTGCAGACCTGAAGTTTGTATCTGGTTGGTGGGGATAATAATCTACCCCCACATGATGACTGCAAAGACCAAATGACTAGGACATTGAAAAATGCCCTGGGAGCTGTTTTGCTGGCCCAAAAGGAATGCTCTTTCCTGGGAAACCAACCTCACCCTTGCCCTTGTGAGAGCCAGATCCCACCTTTCAGCTTGGACTGGTCGTGAGCCACAGCGTGGTAACCAAGGGAGACAGTGGCTCCTCATGCCAGAGTCAAGCTAACAGCTGCTAAGTTTGTTTTAGGTGGTCCCTCCCTAAAGCTTACCATGGCTCATTGTCTCCTTCTGTTAAAGGAACAGTGTAGCCCTGTGTCCCAGTGAGGTGTCCGGAGGAGACAGGGATTTGCTGTAGGCTTCTTTGGTGAGCAGTTCACCCCTACTCTTGATCTGGGAGATGAGGCTAAGAAATCAGATCCACTCTGATTGCTTTGTTCCTTTTAGTTGTACCTTTAAAAGTGTATTTGAAATATTGAAAACATTGAATTATCGGTTTTTAAATGGCAATTCACGGACAGCAAAGTTCAAGAAAAGCATCGAAGAGTGACTATGGCAGCACTCCAGAGCACTCGTTCTTACCCAGCCCGTCAGCTCATCCCTCCCAGAGCCTCTGTGGTGGCATTCTATCATCCCGTTTTATAGACAGAGCACCTGAAGTGGCAGCTCTAGCTCCTGAGTGGCAGAGCCAGACCTGGCACCCAACTACCACATCTGGGTGCATCCGTGTCCTCTCAGTGACACAGCCCTACTCAATCAGCCCCACGCACTTAGCATCAGGGCACACAGGCCTGCCTTTGCGTTCAGGTCTTCTAATTTAATATCTTCTTATCACCTTTCTTGTTTCTCCTTAAGTGTCCTTGTTATTCAACATTCACCCAATAAGTGCTGAATTAATAAATGAATAAGTGAATCAGTTAATAGTAATAATGTACCATAACAGTCCTTGTTTTTAGATATTAAAAATTGCTCCTCTCTTCCAGCTTGTCACTTTTTAAGTGCACTTCTCTGTCTTTTTAAAGAGCATATGACATGTGTCAGGAACTTTAAATGTTGTTTTGTAAGGGTGGGTCTTAGAGATAAGACTTATTCAGAACTTTGAGGTCCTATTAATCATCTGAGTTGGGCATTTATAGATGAGGCTTACATTGTGACTGCTTAGAGCTTCTTTCCTTTAAAAATATCTTATTCAAACACATTGAGAGCTGTGAGTTTTCCACTCAACATCACACTGACTAGGCAAGGAATCAGGACAGCAGATCGGCCGCTGGAGGAGTGAAACCACCTCAATGAACGGCCCTGGTAGTGTCTTAATCCAGAAGATTGACTGTAGTTGTTTAGAATAGTGCGAAACAAGCATTGTAGCAAGATGATGGAACTATCCAATCGCTGATCTCCTCTAGTTAATTGAATGTGTTTTCTTTCCTAAACTGAATTTCATTTGTTGTTATAATTCACTTAGAGTCCTAGACTTCCGGATGTGCAACAGTCCTTTGAGACGATGGTGTCCAATGTCCTAATTATAAAGATTGAGGAAGCCGAGACTCAGGAATATTAGCAGAGTCAGAGAGCTCAGAAAGATGGGAATAAACTTTTGATTCTTTTCAGTTTAATCCCTTTTCATTTGATACCGATGCCAGTATGCTTTTGTTCCAATCTCTAAAGCAATTTCTATTTATGTTTTCAGCCTCAGTTCTTAATTCTGTCTTGTGGAACCAGAGGAATGTAGTATAATCCTGAAAAGAAAGGCTTTTGTACCAGACTTCCGATAGATTTCCCAGAAATGTTGTGGTTGTGTTTTTTAGCTTAGCGTATTGTAGATATATTTTTTCACAAAATCATGTGTGTTCTTTAAGTTTAAAAAGGGGAAATACAGAAAAGAAAAGAAAGGCAAAAGTGAATTCCTAATAGACCTGTTTCTTGAATTTTGGGAATAAGGTTATACGGTGGGCATGATTGTTCTCCCGCCCAAATACCACTTCTCATGTCAACCAGATTCGTTTCTGTTCTACCTCTCTCCTCGTACCTGGGATTATGCTGGTTTTTTTAAAATATTTTTTTCTCTCTTAGTGGAATAAGTTTACCCGTAATCTTTATAAGCATAATTCAGGTCTCATTTTTAATGGTGATATATAATGGTCAGTCATGTAATTAAACTCTTTGTGTTTATTCATTTAGCATGCTTCTAATTTTTCAGTCCTACAAACAATGCTTGGGGGACTGTCTTTCTGCATTTTTTTTCTAAATTGTGGATTGTTGCCTTAGGACAAATTTCCACATGTGATACTACTTGGCTAGAACGCGTGAACCTAAGACTTTTGTCTGTGTTATTGAATTGCTTTTCCAGAGTATCCTAGCAGTTTACATAGCTCCATGCTGTGGACACCCTCCTGGTTAACATCTCCCTAGGCACTGTAGAGTCTTCACCCCACGCCAAGAGCACTTGGCAAGTGGAACTGGACAGTCCCGTTGAACAACCACAGCATTAACCGCTGCGCCTGCTTGTTCTCTGTCTACCACCTGGTGTTGGTCGGTTGCCATGTCCTCCACGGAACTGCCTCCCTAGTGGCAGCATTTCCTTCTCTGGTTTGAGGAATAACAACAGACTTTTTGTCTTTTGGGAGGGGTATTCTCCAAATACCAAACTCCTACCAGACTCCAGTCAGCTGGGCTCATTACTAAAAAGCTGTTGATGATGCCTGCAGGAGAGCAAAGTTCTGGGCCCATGGTTCCATGTGAAAATATGTAGGTTGAGTCAATTTTGTGGAATCTTCCTAGTAGTTAGGTCAAAATTTCCCTTTTCTTATGTAACTGCATGATCAGCATGACAGTAATATTAATGAAATTAAAGACAGAATTTCACCCTCCTGAAATCTGTTTTAAGTTTCCCAGCTTTCTTTCTAACTCCTGTTCCTATGCACACATGCTTTTTATTTTCTTGTTCTAATCGTAGAAGAGATCATTTTTATTGTGCTTTCCCAATTGACTACCAACGATGTTTTTCCATGTTGCTATATGATTTTCATGATTACCACTTGCTGGTTGCTTGGTATTCCATAGAGGGGACTAATTTAACCCTTCCTCTATGTCTGGATATAATCTCTTCCCAATTTTGCCCACTCTAACAAATATGTGGCACAAATATCTCTTCCTGTAGGTTTGTTATCCCATGTGGTTATGGAATATTTCCTTCTTAAATCTTCTCATAAATGGGACGTATAGGTTACTTCTAGGCATTTCTGATTTACCTGATAAATATTACCAAGCTATCATCCAGAATGGCCAGCTCAAACCCTCAAAAATGTGTCAAACTTTAAACATTAGCAGTGAATTGTGGCCTTTGCTGTGGAGAGAAGGGATGGTCAAGAAAGTCCTAAGTAGCCCTGTACGCTGACACTCAGTGATATCCCAGCCAATCAGTGAGTCTGTGTGTCAGCATACCTGCCAGCACACCTGCCAGGACATCTGGTAGCACATCTGCCAGAACAGCACACCTGCCAGAGTATCTGCCAGCACACCTGCCAGAATATCTGCCAGCACACCTGTCGACACACTTGCCAGAACATCTGCCAGCACCCCTACTAGAACATCTGCCAGCACACCCTCCAACAGACATGGCCCCTGCCCCCTCTGAACAGCTGAAACCAGAGGCAAAGAAGAGAAAGTAGAGCTGCTCCCTAGGCCCTCTGCGCCCAAGAGAACACTGCCAAGGGAAGCAGCACAGCTCACAGCTGAGTGCAGACTGTTCATTTGAGTGCTCGGATCCATTGGTGTAGATCACAGGGAAGCACTGGTTTCTGTTAGTGACACTGTAGAGGGCCTTCAACAGGGAATTGAGACCCCCCACCTGCTCACAAAGAGAGACTCAAGTGTGACGGAGAGGGGAGCGCGTGGGCCAGAGCACTTCTGTTCCTCAGGAGGAAGCTTCTGGGTCTTTGGCCAGGTGAGGCCCTGGCGTCCTTTGGGAGTGAGCTTCAGACCGAGCCTGAATGTCTTTCGTATGGATATCCCAACATCCCTCATGCCCCACAGTCCCGTGTGTGCATCTGCTTGACCTGCAGGGAGAGCAGGGTTCTTTATAAAACCCAATCATTTTTCTTCCCCCCAAAGGAGGTGACTGGGAAGAAGATGCTTAGCCCTTCCTTGGCAGTGTGGGGAGCCAGGACACAGGCGAGGCTAGGCTGTCCCAGCTCTTTCTAGTGTGTGCTCTGAGCTCACTGCAAGCCCTTCCTTCTCTCAGCAGCCCTTTCTGGACGCCCACCGCTTTGAGATCTCCACACAAGGCAGTTATTTGGGATTCCAGAACACATGCTTCCCTTGTTGATATTTCTCGGGGCCTCCTTACGTTTAACGGTGGTTGGACTTTTGTGCTAAGGCGACTGATGTGCAGACTTCCACTGAGGCCAGAGAACGTGCCTTGGACTCCACATTGGATGCCAGGATTAAATATTGCAGCTGAGCAAGTAGATTACTTCCTGTGGGTGGTGGGAAGGCCGCACCACATGGAGTAGGGTCTGCTTCCTACTAGTCACTTGTTTATTCTCCACCTTGACATGGGAGCAAGCTCACGCTCCACATTTTCAGAACTGGGGGCAAAGGACATTTGCCTTAAAAGCACCCAGCACAGACCACTCATGCGAGTCACTCACAAACTCACATCAGCCACTGCCTGCATGTGAATGGGACACATCTGCCCTGACAGTGGCAGCTAACACACATCCCTGTTGGTGTCTTGCAGCTTGCAATGTGTGGTACTTGAACTCTGTAGAGATGGAGTCCCTCACCGGCCACCAGGCGGTCCAGAAGGCCCTGAGCATCACCCTGGTCCAGGAGCCACCCCCTGTGTCCACAGTCGTGCACTTCAAAGTGTCAGCCCAGGGGATCACCCTGACAGACAATCAGAGGAAGTAAGTGCCTGGAGGCAGGTGGGGAGGTGTCTGTTGGGGGGGGAGGTGCTAGTGACAGCTAAGGAGGAGGCCTTCCCTCACTCTTCTGTAGTGGAGTGGTTATCCAGGCAAAGCCTTGCCTGTCCTGGAGGCCATTAGTCATTAGCGTCTGTCTAAGTGGTTGACATTAAATTAAACCACAAATAAACTTCTAGTCTTTATCCTGAAGGGTTTTTCTCAGAACTCAGTAAAATTTTTGTTTGTTTGTTTTGAGTTGGAGTCTCACTCTGTCGCCCAGACTGGTGTGCAGTGGCCGCTCCCGGCCACCGCAGCCTCGACCTGCTGGGATCTGGAGATCCTTCTGCCTCAGCCTTCCAAGTAGCTGGAACTACAGGCGCGCGCTACCACACCCAGCTAATTTTTTTATTTGTTGTAGAGACACGGTCTCCCCAAATTGCCCAGGCAGGTCTTGAACCCCGCGGGCTCAGGCAATCCACTCACCTCAACCTCCCAAGGTGTGGGATTACAGGCTGAGCCACCGAGCCCAGCCAAAATTTTTTGTTTGGTTTTTTTTTTTGAGTTGGAGTCTCTCTGTTGCCCAGACTGGAGTGCAGTGGCCGCTCCCGGCCACCGCAGCCTCGACCTGCTGGGCTCCGGCGATCCTTCCGCCTCAGCCTTCCAAGTAGCCGGAATTACAGGCATGTGCTACCATGCCCGGCTGATTTTTTGATTTATTGTAGAGATGAGGTCTCGCTGCCCAGGCAGGTCTCGAACCCGCGGGCTCAGGCAATCCACTTACCTCAGCCTCCCAAAGGCGCGGGATTACAGGCTGAGCCACCGAGCCTGGCTCAAAAATTTTTTTTTTAAGTTAGTTCTTTAATATTACACACACAATTTGCAAATGCGAAAACGTTTTAAGTCACTTTTTAAAAAAACGACAGCTCAGATTTAAGTCACTTTTTGAAATACACTCCGAAAAACTGATCAGATTCACTGATCTTTGTTTTAACTGGGGGCTCCTTTCCTTTCAGGCAAGAGTATGACACAGATACATACTATTTCCCTTGGCTGGTTGCAAATGACTTGTCAGAGCCGCTGCAGAATCAGTTTCGCAGCACAGCTGTTCCCACTGCCGACAACATTTACTAAGCCCCTAGCAAGAGCATAGAACAGAGTGACTACAGGCTTGTGCCTCCCACAATTCCCTAATTGTCTCCTGAGCAGAGCCTTTGAGTTAGGATTGAAGGACTTTCAGATGCAATTATTGTGTATTTGTTAGAGAAACAGCCCATGCGGCGAAGGAGGCAAGTCGTTATCAGACATGGAAGCAGCACAATGGCTGGAGCTGACGCAGGCCGAGCCAACAGAGCAGCCCAAGCCTCTGCCCATGATGCTCCCTGAGGGCCCACACACCTCTTGGGTGCCCAATTCACAGCGTGTCCCTCCTTAGACGCGACTTTTTTTCACCTGCCCAAACTGCGTGTGGGGTTGAAGGCAGAATCTTCTCTCCGTTGCTTTAGGGTGAAGTGAGCTTAGGCGGGTTTTTCTTATAACCAAGGAAACATGGGGCAGGACAGTGGACTTTGCTGGCCAGATCCGAGTTCAGTGCCCCCCGAAACAGAACAGCAGGGTGAACCTAGGCAAGATCCTTAATCCCACGATGCTAGGTTTTCTCATCTTTCAAGCGTACACCAGAATACTAAACTCGGGATTTGGTGACCTGAATAAAGAGTACTCAGCAAGTGCCCCGTGTGGCTCGGTCATGCGGCAGACTCAGGGTCAGGGTCAGGGCTGCAGCTCGGCTGCATAGTAGACTCAGAGTCAGGATCAGGGCTGTGACTCAGCTTCAGGGTGGACTCAGCATCAGGGCGGGTCAGGGCTGTGTCTCAGCTGCATGGTGGACTCAGGGTCAGGGTCAGGGTGTGGCTTGGTTGCAAGGTAGACTCAGGATCAGGGTCAGGGCTGTGTCTCGGCTGCATGGTGGACTCAGGGTCGGGGTCGGGGTGTAGTTTGGCTACGTGGTAAACTCAGGATTGGGGTCAGGGCTGTGTCTCAGCTGCTTGATGGACTCGGTCAGAGTCAAGGTGTAGTCTGGCTACATGGTAAACTCAGGATCGGGGTTAGGTGTGGCTCAGCTGCATGGTGGACTCAGGGTCAGGGTCAGGCCTCTTAAAAAGCCTCAGCATTGACTGTTCTGTCCTCTACACTGCCCTTGGAGGATCAATTGTTTCTTCGTGGGATCTGTTCTGTGTGCCCTTGTCAGGGATGTGTTGAATTTTCTGTATCTCTTTCATTTCCCTGTATCCTTAAAAACCCTGGAGATAAGTTATGTCTGTATCAGTTTAGATCTTTCATACGGCAAGAGATAGAATTTGAGTTCAGACTGGCTTATTCTGGACAAAGGAGAGATATCTTGCCAACAACCAGCTTTAAAAGGCAATGGGGGAGGGGACACGGGTGACTGCAGGGTGACCTTGAATCCAGGCTCTGCCTCTGCCCTTGCCCGCCTGCTGGCCCTTTTCTCCTTCTCCAGAAGGGTATTCTCCTTGTACCAGTGCAAAACCATCAACATCAGGGGGCACGCTTCTCCAGCTCTCCTCCAGAAGGGGAGGAGAGCTGCTGCCCCCAATGCCACCTACACTGGCCCAGCCTGGACACAGAGCACAGTGTTATGATGGTCGTCCCTTGCGGACTGAGTGGTCTGGTCGGGCAGCACTGTTGGGAAGACAATAGGAAGCGCAGTTGAACCTGGATGAAGGTCTCCATGGGGGTGTACCAGTGACCACGTGGATCCCTTCCCTGAGGAATAAGTCCTCTTGAGTTAACTAAGTGCTCTCTGATCTGTTACCATATCTGATCTGTGTGCCCATCCTGTGAAAGGGGGGAGCTGATGTCAAGACCCCCTTCTCACAGGCAAGGAAAGGAAACCAAGGCTCAGAGGCAGTTGGTGGTTCCCCCACGGTGGTGCAGACAACAGGATCCAGTGGGGCCCGAAGTGCTTCCTCATGCCCGTCTGCCACCCCATCAACTTCTCTCATTAGAGCTTCTTGACCTGATTTCCCGCCTTCCACATGGCAGATAATTTCACCATCTGTGGTGCTTCCATTCACTGTTTCAAAGAACCGTTCTGCCCAACTCCAAGTCATCTGTTGACCTTGCACACGTTTCGTCTTCTCTCCAAATGATAAGTGAAACTATAAAACCATTATCTATGCCACAAATCTTCACGTATGGGGAGCCTGCCCAGTGCATCGCCGGTGGCCACCCTGAGACCCCAATAACGGAAACCATCCTCTTGCCCCTGTGTTTCCACAGGCTCTTCTTCCGGAGGCATTACCCCGTGAACAGTGTGATTTTCTGTGCCTTGGACCCACAAGACCGGAAGTAAGAAATCTGTATTTTTATTAAGCAATTGTTTTACTCTTTAATGTAAAAAAGTGACATTACCCTTTTCTCTTTCATTTGCAAGGTGGATGAAAGACGGCCCTTCCTCAAAGTAAGTGGCCAGAATTTATTTATATTCTCCATGTACAATCGCAATCCAAAGTTTAATTCTGTTCCAGATTTCCATAGAGGGTGCCTTATTAGAAAGTGACTTAAGTCATACCAATTGCTTTAAAAGAATAGAAAAAAGTAAAAGTTTTCTCATTATATAGCAAGGGCCTGGATGTTGACTTTTCTGTTGGCTGCCGGCCACAGCGCAACATTTACATTTGTCATCTAATATTGTGGTATAGAGACAAGGAGACAAGTGGCACAGCCATTCTGGCCAGCTGGGCAAGGAGGTGGGCTGTAGCAGTGCTGAGGTCTGCACAGCTAGAAGGAAGAGCCCCCTGTGTGCAGGAGCAAGGGGGGTTCCCAATTTACCAAAGGCAGAGGAGGCCAGTTTTCATCATCCCTTGCTTTGCAGCAGGCCAGGCATCCTCTAGAGGGTCCTCCTTACAAGTGGGCCTTCCCCTGGTCTTTGAGTACCTGTGGCCTTGCTTGGCATGGGCTCGTTCCGGGCTCAGCATTGCCATCTGGGCAGGCTAAGGGACCTTGTCCTAACCTCCTACCTGCAGGCATAACTAGCTGCATTTTTCCAGGTTGGCTTTCCTCCACGTTATCTAGATTTAATGACCACAAGTGTCTCACCACAAGCATCCTTCCCTAGGATTCGATTTCATTTTTTTTTAACTTTATTATTGTATTTCTCTGAGTTGGAGTAGTCTTACTCTGTCATCCAGTCTGGAGTGTAGTGGCATGATCACAGCTCACCGCAGCCTTGACCTCCTGGACTCAGGTTATCCTTTCGCCTCAGCCTCCCAAGGAGGTGGGACTACAGGCACATACCACCACTCCTGGCTAAATTTTTGTAGAGATAGGGTCTCACTGTGTTGCCTAGGCTGGTTTCCAATTCCTGACCTCAAGTGATCCTCCCACGTCGGCCTCCCAAAGTTCTGGGATTACAGGCATGAGCCACCATGCCCAGTACTCTATTTCAAATTTCTTGTTTGTCCAGGGAGCTGGTAAGTGATGAAGGGTCTCCAGAAGCCCCGGGGGAACTATGTTCTGAGCACACTCCCCCTCTCTGACTGGCAAGGGTAACCCTGGGCTTTCTTTGCTTGGAATTTGTGACTCCTTCAGAGTTACTTGAGTGTGATTGGCTGGCCCCTTTTATGGTGTGGAAACCATGAAATGAAAGCCAAAAAATATTTTTCTAAGAAAAAGAAGAGAGTTCTGCCAGGGATTTGGGTGGGGATAGTGGTTATTATTGTGTTAAGTTTAGGGTGCATAAAAGCCTATTAAGATAATGACTTCAGTTCTTCTAAGAAAATAATTAGATGTGCTGTTCTTTTTAATCAGCTTCCTGAACTGCAGTCTGTAACCCAGGCTTACAAGGCCTGAGAAGACTTCTTGGTGTATTTCCCCTCTGTCCCCAGTGGGTGGGAGTGGCAAAGACCAGGCAGGACTTGGGTACATTCTGATGGGATCCCAGAGTCCTCTTTCCCTCCCCTTGGAGATGAGTACGTAGGGCTGGCCCTCAGGAATCTGCTTGGACAAGTACCCAGAGGATTCAGACCCTGGCCTGGGGAAGTATCTGTGGAGTGAGTTGAGTCTCAGCTTGGCTTCACGCCATGCACAGACCACTCACCTTCTCCCAGCTGCAAGGTCCTCACCTGCACAGCAGGACTCATACATCTTACCTGCAGGTCTGTGAAGGCTGGAGGTAAAGTTTGTGTGCAGGTGACCAGGGGGTGCTTGGTCCACGGGAGGCTTTTGAATTCACAGCATTTAAGAGTCCTCCGGGGGTGCTGCTGGGGCCAGAGGAGGCAGAAACATTCCCAAGGATGTTGGGTGCTCTGTGGGACACTGACCACTCCAACCTGTACTTTCCCTTTTGCAGAGTCTTTGGATTCGTGGCCCGGAAGCAGGGCAGTGCCACGGACAATGTGTGCCACCTGTTTGCAGAGCATGACCCTGAGCAGCCTGCCAGTGCCATCGTCAACTTCGTGTCAAAGGTCATGATCGGCTCCCCAAAGAAGATCTGAGAGCCACCCTGGCAGCCCAGACCCGCCGGCGGCTCTCAAGACCCTGGAGACAGCAGTGGGGTAAGGGCGGGGCCCCCACTTTGTACCAAACTGATAACCCTGACATTCCAGTGGAGGAGGATAGACGATCTTCCAACTCTGCAAAACGCAAGAACAAATGTCACCGCTGAGTGACCTTTCCTAAAAGTGACTTCTTATCTGACACATCTCTGTGGCCAAGTGCTTTTGGAGCATGCCCACCCAGGGTTCCTATTGGAAAAGGACGTGAGAAGAGAGCGTAGAATGTGTGGCAGTCCCCAAGTTCCTGGCACACCAGCATTTCAGGGGATGAGGAATTCCCAGCCCTCACGGCAGAGGTGCTGAGTGGCCACTGTGCTTCACTGTGGGTAGGAGTGCTCCCGTCCAACCAATGCCCGAGGGCCGTGGTCCCTCACCTGGGTTTTCCCATGACAGAGATACTAATGAAACCGAGAAGGGGCACATGTTTGACGGTTTGTTCAGGTCAGGCCCTCCCGCAACTCAGCGGGGGCTCTAACAAGGGGACTTTGCCATGGGAGGATAAGGGTGGTGGAAGCCTGGCATCATGAAAGGGACACAACACGTCAGAGAGACCCCACCCCCACGTGGTGGTAGCTCCGTGCCTTCCGCTCGTATGGAGGGCTGGACCAGGGAGAGCCCATGAGGACCCTGAGAGGAGAAGCAGGAAGGAAGCTGAGACGCCATTTCTATATAATTTATATTTTACTTATGCCAAATTATTTATGATAACAATTTGCCATTGCTACGCCGGACCGATGTCAAATGCTGCAGCCTGCCAAGCTGTGATTCCAAGAGGCTCATCCCCATGCAGGACTCACCACAGGCACCTGGCCCCTGAAATAGAAGGTGCAGGCCACACTGTGGAGTTCCCACATGCAATGCTGCCCAAAGTTGGTTTTGCCTCAAGCAGCCTCCCCCGATGCTTCACCCTCTGGCTTGTCTTTTCTCCAATTGTGGATGACTTCCCTTCTGATGGGAACGTCCAGGTGGTGTGGGAAACGCCTGGGTTTAAACTCAGCAACCCCCCGGGTTGGCCGTCTCCAGTCCCGACGTAGCATGACCAAAAGTGCCTGTGGCCTTCATAAGTTTCATCGAGCGACTCTTGCAACCCTTGGGTTTCCTGCTGGGGACCCTGTGTAGTGGTCAGATGCATGAGCAGAAGGGACGATGAGGAGAAAAGGAAGGAATCCCAGTGCTTACAAGCTGTGTTTGCTGTTCTGCGTTGCTTTAGCCACTGAATCAAGTGTGTTATATCATGCTTATGTCTGCATGCCAACGGTTTTCCCACCAGAATCTGCCCTTTGCCAGGGGTTTGAGAGAATCCAGCAGCCTTGCATGTTCCCCAGAGTGAGAGATGGGGCTGGGCCATGTTGGAATAAAAGCCTTGACCTCCTTCCCTTGCAGCCCAGGGTGCTCTGTGGGCACCTGACTGTCCCGATTATGACCCACCCCAACAAACCTGCTTTCCTCTGCTCTCAAAAGTCAAGTTCCCTCTCTTAGGCCACAAGATGACCCAGGCTCTGGCCACCGAGCTGGGGTTTGCCTGTGTGCTTTGTGAACTCTCTGTTTTCAAGTGAGGGCTAGAGGAAGACTTAGCAATGAGCAGAGTTGGAACCAGCCGAATCACAGTGGCGTTGTATGTGCGTGTGTGTGTGTGTGTGTGTGTGTGTGTGTAAGCAGGTGGACCATTCCACTTTTTAGCTCCTACTGATGCACCAAATGTTAAGTGCCTCATTTCTGTGCCAAATGTTTGCCTTGGTCTTTTTAGACCTCCTTCCCTGATATGCAGTGACAGGGCCATTAGAATGTGCCAGCATTTTCTAGAGGCCCCGATGTCCCTGGCAGAGGCTTCTAGCATATTGATTTTTCATCTATCGCAGGAGTATGGCCAAGGGTAATAGAGATTTGTGCTTTCCCCAAAAGGTGCCACATCCTGAGCTGGTCCATGTTTGACCCAAAGAGCACAGGCCAGGTCCCTTATCCTTCCAGTGAAGGATGAGAGGGCTTCTTTTGAAGCCCAAGCAAAACAGGGGTACAGTATTGAGAAGCACAACCTGCCAGTGAATTACAGAGACATCGGGGCCTCCTGCGGCCATCTCATGGAGAGCACTCAAGAAGCCATACGAATATGGTTTTTTGAACTGAGTGACCAGGTGTGATTTTTTTATTCAAGGTAAAAATGGTCAAAGGCATTAAGGGATTTGCTCCAAACAGGTAACTCTCTCCAAGGAACCAAAGGAAGCAAGTTTTCATGGTTTCCGACGAGCTGGTACGGCAGATTTCTTTCCTTCGTGTGTTCCTTGTGCATTAAACAGAACAAGATGAGTCCACATCACCAAAACTGTATTGCGGGCTCAGAAACCATGAGCAAGCCCCCGCCACAGCTGGCATGGGCCCACGGAAGAAGGAATGTTTCCCAGTCATTTGGGGCAGGTGCATACTGTCCTTGGGAATCAACGGGACAAGTACTCAGCAATTGTGCCTGACACATATTATAGCCAGGGTCCTACTAACCTACTCAGTAAACGTGTTGTTGTATTCCTCCAGTGTTAAGCTATAACCGTGTTAAAAGTCACACCGCATTTATCGTCAGCGTCAAAGACCCTGTAATGTCTTCTTATCTGCCTTACCTGTTAGTGCATATTTTTGCTTTTCTGATATTGTAAAGAATATATCCATTATGTAAATGAATGTTCCATAAATCCTTTGTATAGTCTTTTTTCTCTGCTCTTTAAATATCATCTCTATTCAGAGTATAATAAAATTATGAACCTGGTAAGCCTCAGCAAGACAGGCATTTGTGTGCCCTCAAGTGTGCTGCGTTTGTGTGTGCATGTCTGTGTATGCACGTGTGCATCTTTGTGTGTAAGCATGTGTGTACATGGGTGTATGTGTACATGTGTCTGTGTGCATCTGCATGTGTGCTTATGCATATATGTGTGTGCCTGTGGGATTATGGATCAGTAGATACAGGTACAAATTCATGTGTGTTTTGCCTTCAGGAAAATATTTTGAGATTTCTGCCCAGAGATCTCTGAAAAGTTATGTTTAAAGATTTTTAAAAATTACTTACAAGGCACAGTGTTCATGATGGGTACGGATACGTTTTTGGTGTTGCTATAAATATCCCTAAACTGCAGGAAGACACCCCTGAAGACACCCTGAAGTGAACCAACCCCTGAGGGGAGCTCCCAGTGTCTACCCAACTGAATAGTAAAGGTCTGGTGGATTATTTTATACTTCAGCAAATGCTAGAGATAGCCCAGTGTCACCTGCCTCTTCCACCCTCCCCACCGCCAACGGATACTCTTCCCCTCATCCCTATAGGGTGTTCCCTTCTTTCTGCTGGCTTTCTGCCCTTTCAGTGCCGTTCCCTCCCTCCTCAGTCAAGTGATGGGACATAGGATCGCTGCTAACCTCGTTTCCTCACATCCACATGAGAAAAGAAGCAATACCTTGGGCTCATTTCGGTCACAGATTTCAGTTAGCTGTCACTCTCCCCAGCACAACATTTTCTCTCTGCAGGCTTTGGCTTTCCACTGCAATGAGACACAAAGAAGATAATTTTTTACCTCAGGTGTGTTGGGAAGATGGACTTGAAATGGTTCTGGTATTAGTGCCTCAGAGTGGAAGAGAGAACAGGTGGTGACGGGTTAAATCGTGACAACAGGAAGTTCCCAGCGAGCTCTGAAGTCAGTCATTGCCCAGACCCTTGATCACTGTGACAGGGTGGAGAAGTGGGCAGGGTATCGATTTTACCATAGTTTAAAGAGTGCACTTTCCAAAAACACAGTATTTGTCACAAACGCTGGGCTCATAGGATGTGCACATAGGTCCCAGGCCAGAGTCAATCCAGGGACTGGTGGAGAGAGCCAGTGACCACAAGGCCTCAACTGGACAGGCCCCTGCCACATGTTGCAAGAGGCAGTCACGGTTCCCTGTTCATCTCTCAGCAGTCTATTTAATAATGAATACCTGGGCCCATCCTTCTATTACGTGATAGGCACCTCAGCCCACCAACTTTCGGGTCATCAATCTGTGTAATGGTGCCTTAGCCCCACCCACTGGGGATAGCAGATCCATACCTCAGTTGTGCTTCTGTGTCTTGTTTAGAGACTTTTGTGGCCACCAGGGAGGTGGGATGAGCTGTCCAGTGTTCTTGGGGGATCACATTTAAGCCAGTCTCAGAAGATGAATTGGAATTTTCCAGGTAGAGTTGGGGCAGTACCAGGAAGGAACATTTACAACATACAGTTTGGCTATGTCTGGAAACACTTGGACAACAGGACTGTTGAACTGGCAAACAACACAAAACTGAAAACTCACAAATGGTCTTAAAGTTCCCAAGAAATGGGGCCACAGTGTGAAGCTTGGCTGGAGGCAACAGACGTGGCATTGGCTCACTGAGAGCTTGTCACCAACCCAGGTGTCCAGGAAGCAGGAACCGCAAACGGGATTCCACTACAACAATTGATCTAGCCCAGGAAGCCTGTCTGTCCCCATTGGATCAGAGACTCCTACCCCTTTCCAGGGAGTCTTGAGTGCCTGGGGAAACTATAGCAGGTATCCTGCCACAACAAGCACCCAACCACACCTGGGAAGCACACTCTATCCGCAGCTAGCAGGGTGACCTTCTACAACAAATGCTATGCCAGGGAAACTTGATAGCTGTGAGCCTGCGGCTCCCATTCCCCAGTGAGAGACACCCTCTGTCCCTTAGGTAGCATCAGCTGGGACCAGTGAGAGCCTCAGAGACACCACATAAACCAAGCAGACCAAAATAGCACTGAAAGGCTCTGATGATTAAACTGTCAGTGGGACCATAGTCCACAAGGCAAGCCAGGACCTGCTCACTAAGCATAATCAGGGCAACGCCTGCTAAAATGAAATATGTAAATGGGACCTGGAGTTTCCTAGTATAATAGGTAATTGTCTGGAATACAACAGAGAATTACCTGTCATACCAAGTGCCAAGAAATTTGCAGCATGAATGAGAAAGGCAACAGATGCCAACATACGACGAATCAGATGCTGGAGTTATTTGGCAAGAATTTTAAAGCAGCCATCATAAAGATGCTTCAGCAAGTAAATATAAAATTTCTTGAAAGAAATAAAAAACTCAGTAAAAAAAAAATCAAGAACCAAATGGAAATTACATAACTATTATATTTTTGTATAATAACAAATACATATATAACAAAAACTATTATATTTTTGTATAATAAAAAATAAAAACCTTACTGAATGAGTTCAATAGTAGAGTGGAGACAACAGAGGAAATAATCAGTGAACTTGATGACAAATCACTATAATTTGTTCAATCTGAACAACAGAGAGAAAATATACTTAAAAAAATAAACAGCCACAGGGGCCTTAGGACAATAACAAAAGATTAAACATTTATAGCATTGGTGTACCACAAGGAGAGGAGAAAGAGAAAAGGACTAAAAATGTGAAGAAATAATGGCTAAAACTCCCCAAATTTGACAAAAGACAGATGTATAGACTC